GGTTCGCAGCCCGATTTGTAACCACTACGCTACCAGAGCTCCTTTGCCCTACAGGACCACCATGACTTGGAATCAACTTGTTGGCATGGGTTGAATTAACCTGGAGATGATGGGTAACAACAGTTGTGGTTGTTGTGAAGTGCTGTCAAGGCAGTCCCGACTCATAGCGACCTTGTCTACGGTTTCCAAGGAGCAGCTGGTAGATTTGAACTGTCAACCTTGTGGCTAGCAGTCCAATGCTTATCCTACAGTGCTGCACCAAGATTCCTGGTGTGAACACAATACTACTACCACCACCCCCCTGTTAATTGTGACCACTGTCCATGCAAAAGTGAGTTCATGTCCTACATACTAGTGAGTTGAAATTTTCACTGAAAATACTCATCTATCTAGTACATTCTTCTAAGGGGGATGCAAAACAGATTTCGCTCATCTTTTCTCATTGTTGTTAAGTGCCATCAAGTTGATTCTGACCCACAGCGACCCTGTACAGGAGCAGCTGGTGAGCTTAAACCGCCGACTTTGCACTTCAAAGTGACTTTGCAGTCCAGCGTATTAACCCACAGCGCCACACCAGGACTTCATTGTCCTCTTCATAGTTACAGAATCTTCTAGAATGCGAGTTATCAGACTATACACTTTCCTCCCAGCACTGATCTGATGAAGACTGAAACTGCAGTCTCATGTGCATAGAAGGAGAGAAGGGGCCTAGGGTGCACCCAGCCCAGCTCAGGAACCAGGTACTTGCAGAATCCCTCCTTTTTGTTGTTTCCTTGATGCTCAGGCTCCAGAATGTCACTTGTCCCAAGATTCAGTGTGAGCCCTGCCCCCCAGGTGTGGGCACCCCCTCCCAGAAAGGAGTGCTATGCTGGCAGCTTCTTGGGTGTGGGTGGCGCACAGCTTGGGCTGTGCTACAAAGAGGCAGGTACCATAGGGTTTCTGGAGGATTGTGGCGTTGGAAAGGTGTGGGTTGGGGCCAGAGATAATATATCCTGAGAGCCAGCCATCCTGGGAAACATGGGGTGCCATTCCTTATCATCACAGCACTTAGGCTCTTATTCAGCTCATCTACCTCCCCCGCCTGGGTCATTAGCTTATCTACTTTCGTGTCTGGTTCGTTCAGCTCATCTGCCTCCACATCTGGGTGATTAGCTCATCTGCTTCCACGTCTGGTTCGTTCAGCTCATCTACTTCTGTGCCTAGCTTGTTCAACTCATCTACCTCCCTGCCTAGTTAGTTCAATTCACCTACTTCCAGGTCTAGTTCCATGTAGTAGCAGACACCCTGTGCATAGATCTCTATCATGGTGGCTTTTGTGTCCTTGTTGTTAAGTGCTGTTGAGTCAGTTCTGAACCTGCATAAGGTTTCCAAGTAGAAGCTGATGAGTTTGAACCTCCAGCTTTGTGCTTAGTAACCCAGTGCAGATCCTCTAACACCACACCAGAACAACTTTGTTTCCCTAGAAAGGTTATTAGAAGAGGGACTGCTGAATCTAAGTCCAAGGTGATTCCCAGTCCTCCCAGCAGAAGTGTGACCTCTCCCACATTGGAGCCCATCAGTCCTTATTCTCGGCTCCTTCTCTCCTCCTCTTCTTCCTTCACTGTATGGTCCACCCTCATGTCCCCATTTGCTTGGCTCCTAGGGAGATTGAGAGTGTTCTCACAAGCCAATTGGCCTGTCTTCTGTCCTCTTCTTTGTGTAGCTTCTCCAAGCACTGTGGGGCAGACAGATGGGAAGACATGGGAGAGGGAAGGAGAATCTAAAACAAAAGCTGGCATGGGTGGGCTGGGCAAAGGGCTCAAGTGCATAGGGAGCTACAGGGAGGGAGGTGGCAGGAGCTGAGGCTGGAACTTGACACAACTGGCTTCGACCTTAAATACCTGGACAAGCGCTCAGCTGTTCCCCACGAGCCAAGTGGAAGCACTGGGTTCCCCACCACCACCGTCCGGGGGAAGGTAAGACAAAGCAGTATTGCTTGAGTCCTGGCGATGTCTAAGGACCTGAACTAGGTTACAGCTATGTGCCTGGAGGCCATGGGACGAGGGCCAGTAACAGGGCTTCTGCCATTTGGCAGTGAGCACCAGTGGAGGCAACGTGATCCTGTGATCATCTCAGAGGAGCAGGGATGGGACAGGTTCTCACCGGCTGTGCTTCTCAGCCCTTCTCCAAGGTAGACACACCTGCCTAGCAGCGGCAACACTGCATTTATGTCTCTTGCCTGACAGGACTGAGTATGTGGGGAAACAACTTGTGTGCCATCAAGTTCATTCGGACTCACAGTGACCCACGGAGCTAGCAGAACTGGCCCACTAGGTATTCTAGGGTTTCCAAGGAGTCACTGATGAGTTTGAACCACTGGCCTTGCGATTCAAACCTACCTTTTGGCCGAGTGCTTGTCCTACAGCACCACACCTGGACTCCCATCATTACCCGAGCAGATCACCGTGTCTTCCTTCTCATGGATGTGTTTGAAATTCCATCCTTTCAGTTAGTGGCCCAGTGCCTAACCTCTGCACAGCCAGGCTTCCTTCTTGAGTTTTAGAGGCCAGCTAAAAGTGGTGGGCTTGACACCAGACTCAGGTCAGCCATAGGCCTGGTCATGGGCCAGGAGCCTTGAGGGCCTGCAAAAGTGCTTGGAAGCTAAATGCTGTGAGAGTTGGTATCCACATAGGTGTTATTGTTGGTCCAGTTCATTGGGATGTGTGACATAGACTCACCAAGGCCAGGGTTCTTGAGAGGAAAAAGGCTAGAAGGAGGTTCCTACACCATCTCCTCCTACCTTTTGCTTGGACTTGACTGGGAGCCCAGTCAAGACTGGGAAGAATAGGGTTTGGACTCCTGATTCTGAAAACTGAGAAATCAGAATCATTAAGTATTTAATCCAGTGTTTGCAAAGACTAACACTAGGTTAGGTTTTTTTTGTTTTATTATTATTTTGTGAGAATTCCCTATTATGCACTCACTTAAATGCTTTTGTCTTAGCCACATGATTGCAAAGAAATGTGTGTGTGTTTGTGTAATGTACAGACGTGCATACTTTCTTCTATCGTGCTTGGCAGATACTGCAGTATTTAAAGATAGAAGGCTTGCGGCAACCCTGTGTTGAACCAATCTATCAGTGCCATTTTGCCAACAGTGCGTGCTCACTTCGGGTCTCTGTGTTCCATTCTGGTCATTCTCTGGAAGCTCTGCTGAAACCTTTCCACCATGGGTGATCCTGCTGGTGTTTGAAACACTGGTAGCTTAGTTTCCAGCATGTCAGCAACATGCAAAGCACATCAGTACAATAACCTGACAGGCGTGTGAGAGGGGAGCATATTGCCCCCCCTTCATTCTTACCTTCTGAGATGGAAATACAGGGCATGGGCACCGAGGGCTTCCCTGCGTTGCAGACACCCTTGGGTAGTGTTGACTCGCGGTCTCTGTTTCCCTCTACAGAAGCTGTAGAACCATGGCGACTCCAACTGCTGCCTTTGAGGCCCTCATGAGTGGGGTGACGAGCTGGGATGTCCCCGAAGATGCCATTCCCTGTGAACTACTTCTCATTGGAGAGGCCGCCTTCCCGGTGATGATGAATGATGTGGGCCAGGTGCTCATTGCTGCCTCCTCCTATGGTCGGGGCCGTCTGGTGGTGGTGTCCCACGAAGACTACCTGGTGGAGGCCCAGCTGACACCTTTTCTCCTCAATGTGGTGGGCTGGCTGTGTACCTCCCCAGGATCCCCCATTGGGATTCACCCATCCCTGGCACCTTTGGCTAAAATCCTCGAGGGCTCCAATGTGGAGTCCAAAATAGAGCCGGAAGTCAAAGATTCCCTGGGGGTTTATTGTATTGACGCTTACAATGAGACCATGACTGAGAAACTGGTCCAATTTGTGAAGCGGGGAGGGGGCTTGCTCATCGGGGGCCAAGCCTGGGACTGGGCCAGCCAGGGCGATGATGAGAGAGTCCTATTCACCTTCCCCGGGAACCTTGTCACCAGTGTAGCTGGCGTGTACTTCACCGATAACAAGGGAGACACAAGTTTCTTCAAGGTCTCTAAGAAGATGCCCAAGACGCCTGTCTTGGTGAGGTGAGTCTATGAGCCAATGGGGAGCTGCCTCACATTCAGCTTTCTCCCAAGTTATTTGACACTAGACACAGATTCATCCTAAATCATCAACAGTTGTTAGGTGCTGTCAAGTCACAGCGACCCCATGTACAACAGAATGAAACACTGCCTGGTCCTTCTTCACAATTGTTCTGTGTTTGAGCCCATTGTTGAAATCACTGTGTTCATCCATCTTGTTAAAGGTCTTCCTCTTTTTCACTGACCCTCTACTTTTCCAAGCATAATGTCCTTCTCCAGGGACTGATCCCTCCAGATGACATGACCAAAGTAAGTGAGACAAAGTCTTGCCTTCCTTATGTCTAGGAACATTCTGGATGTTCTTCTTCCAAGATAGATTTGCTTATTCTTCTGGCTCTCCATGGCATACTCATTATTCTTCACCAGCATTGTAATTCAGAGGCATTAACTCTCTGTATTCATTATCCAGCTTTCAGACGCCTATGAAGTGACTGAAAATACCATGACTTGGTTTAGAGTTGTCTTAGTCCTCTAAGTGACATCTTTGCTTTTATCACTTCCAAGAGGTATTTTGCAGCAGATTTTCCCATCGAAAGATAAGCACTGGACTGTTAACTGAAAGGTCAATAGTTCAAACCCACCAGTCACTCTTTGGAAATCTATACAGCATCGCTATGAGTCAGAACTGACTATATGGCACTTAACAAGAACAACTAGTCGTTTTTATATGGAACTCACATATCTAAAATAAGAGAATTACATTTTTAAAAAGTGTTTCATTCTCCAATGTGAATTTGAAGTTGAATTTGACTTTTTTTTTCCATTTCAAAGTTATATCTTATATTTATAAAAGCTCATTTTTAGCGTTTGTATATTTTGTTGTTGTTAAGTGCCGTCAAGTCAATTCTGACCCATAGCGACCCTATATATGATTTCCAAGGAGCAGATGATGGATTTGAACTTCCTACCTTGTGGTTCACAGTCTAGTACTGATCCTACAGCACCAATATAAAATCCTTTCTTTCCCCTTTGAACTCTATTTTATCTAATATTATAATTGTTGTTGTTAAGTGCCATTGAGTCAGTTCAGAGTCATAGCAACCCTGTATAGGGTTTCTGAATAGCGGCTGGTGAGCTTGAACCACTGACATTTCAGTCCAGCACATTAACACGGAGCTCCACATCAGGACTCCAACACTATAATTACTACACTTTTTATGTTTTCTTTGCTGATCCTTGTATTCTACATCCATTTCATTAAATTTTTTTAAGATGCATCTCTTAGCACAAATTTGATTCCCACACCCCCAATCAAAGTCTCTGTTATTTACATGGAGAAATAATCTCTTTATATAACTGGGGAAATTGATTTGTTTGTGTTCATTGCTAACATCTTGTGTGATGTTTTCTGTTGCCTCCTCTAAAATTTTCCTTCGTTTGTCTTTTGTTCATTTACTTGAGTTTCTTTTTCCCTTCCTGTGATTTAGGAGTTATATATAATTTGTCTAATCCTCTAGCATTTATCTTTATTTTTTCCCAGCTACCATTTTTAAATCACACTTACAGGAAAGGTGTGAGTGCCAGACAATAGTCACCATATCCTTCAGTTAGATTCACGAGCAATTGAAATTTTGCCTCATATGTTTTCTAAACACACATCCACACAGATTGTTTGGCTTAGACTTTTGTGAGTAACATGTTGACTTCATGACACTTCACTTTTAAATATTCACCATGTGTCTCCTAAAAGCAAGGATATCCTTCCACATGACCACAATATATTTATCCTACTCAAGACCTTTAGAATTGATATAATGCATACAATTATCTGATGTCCATATGCAAAAGTCCCTGAATATCCCAACAATGTATTTTATAATTTTTTTTTAATATAGGATCTAACATAATATCGGAGTCTTGGTGTCAGGATCAGCGGTTCAAACCCACCAGCTACTCCTCAGATACCCTATGTTATTGTTAAGTGCTGTCAAGTCGGTTCTGACCCATAGCAACTCTGTATAGGGTTTCCAAAGAGTGACTGGTGAGCTTGAACCACCGACCTTGTGATGCAAATGACTTTGCAGCCCAGCTCATGAACCCTATACAGGGTTGCTATGAATTGGAACCAACTCAACAGCAATAACCACCTAATAACAGTACTATGTTTTTCAGTCTACTTGAACTAAAATAGTTCCCAGCTTATTTATTTTTCAGGTCATTAACATTTTTGAAGCATCCAGTCCAGCTGTTTTGAGGGCTGTCCCTCGATTTGGATTTGTCTAGTTGGTTCTCATGATGATTCTCAGTTCACACATTTTTGGGAAGAATCTCACATAGGAGACACTGTCTTTCACAGCATATCCAATCAGGAGGTCTTTGTTGATGGTAGATGTCATAGAGTCGGTACTGAATCATAGTGACCTTATGCACAACAGAACAAAACCCTGCCCAGTCCTATGCCAACCTCACAATCATTGCTACACTTGAGTCCATTGTGGCTGCCACTGTGCCAATCCATCTCGTTGGGGGTCTTCGTCTTTTTAGCTGACCCTCCACTGTGTCAAGCATGATGTCTATCTACAGGGACTGGTCAGGTGGTACAGTCGAGGTCAATTTGTCCTGTTATCCATGTTAACCTTGATCTTTTAGTGGAATTGGGGCTTGCCAGATGTTCCTATTATGCTGTTGGTGTTGTTGGGTGTTGTCGAGTAGGTTCCGACTCATAGGGACCCGAAACACAACAGAACAAAACACTTCCTGTTGCACTTGTAGCTTTTTAACGAATTAGACCTATGGCGCTATCAATTGAAACCCTATGGGTACCCAGTTCCCCAACCACCTTCTACCCTGAGGTTCTAGCATGCATTGAGGAACTAGCCTGAGACAATATTTACAAAGAAGGTTCGAAAGCGATTCTTTCATTACCTTCGCCACACACCTCTTCCCATCAAGACTCTTCTCCAGAAACCTTCTCCCTCTCACATTCTAGTATAACTCTCCTGCCTTGTGTTCCCGTAGTAACCTGAGAATCTAGTGCTTACCACACTTTTTGTGGAAGTGGGCTAAAAGGCTTCTCTCCAAAGTGGTTGACCTCCCAATTCCCCAAACACTGGCTTTCTTTGTATTTGATTTAAATTTTGTTGGTTTTCTTATCATGGATCAGTACTCATGAGTTCTTTTTTTTTTTTTAATCAAATGTGTTGGAATTTACTTGAAGTCAGTAATTTGTGAAGATCTCAGTGTCCAGAATTGGCCCACAAAAGCCCCACTAAGCTGGCTCCTGGGTCCATTGACACACCCCATCAGTTTTTTCAGTCTGTTCCTAATTTCTGAAACAACAAACTTCCCTTATATGAGATGGAATGGACTCAGTGACAGATTTTGTGGGTTTTCTTCTCCCAGACCTGATGGATTTAGCCATTTCTTACAATGGTGGTTGGTATTTAGGGTCCACGTGCTAAAAGAGCATTTTGATTTCCTTATCCTTCAGAAGACAGAGCCAGGAACTGTATTTACTGCAACAATACAGTGACCTTCTCTAACTTCTGTGTGACCATCTCTAACTTCGTGGAAGAGGAGCGGATCAGCCTAAAGCTGATTCGTATGAAGTGGACGTCAGCTATGACTCTGTCCCCAACCTTTTTACCAATTCTGACATCACCATCCCTCCCACAGAACTCTGTTTCTCCACTGGGGCTGAAGATTCATTGCGATGGCCACACTGAACTCCTGCAATACTCAGGTTACAATCCAGAATCAGAAATACTCGGGATTATGGGATTTATTAGGAAAGTGTAACCTAGTTTATGTTTATTAGGTTACAATCCAGGATCCGAAATACTCAGGCTATAGTTTTTCAGTCAGGAGAGTCTCTTCTCAACAGTGCCTGCAGGCACACCAAGGTCTTGATCTCTCTTAGCCCTTAGACATCTGCCCAGCTTGGGTTAGTGTTACAAAGCTCCTTTAGCACTACTGATGAATGTCCAAAGGCACTCCACTCTTCCTGTTAGCCTTGGCCCAAAGGGACTCAACTCTGTCTCATTGGGCCAATCGAGTTCCCCACCTGCCACCCCTGTGGGCAATGCATTCCATTAAGCCTCCTGCCAGAAGACCCTCAGCTTGTTGGGAAGCCCACTGCTCCTTCTCACACCAGCCTCATGGCTCTGCCCCTGCTGCTGCTCCCAGCTCTCCACCACTGTTTCTTGTCATCTCTCCCTGCTGGCCCAGTTCTTTGTCTATTGGAGTGAGCAGTCCCCACACCAATCTTGGGCCCAAAGAATGACTTCACTCGTGGCTCTTCTTTCATCAGGGTAACAAGATCCCCATTTCTGCCTCTGAGATGGCTCGTTTTAAACCCAGCAGGACAGCAAAACTAACCAACCCCTTTGTTAGTGTTCCACACACCTTATCTGCATGGTAGCACCCCAGAAGGGACCAATGTAACTTCTTTACATTATTAACAAGCAATCTGATTGATCCCCTTAGTGGGCCACAAGCATCTCATGTTTACATAAGTCTACCCAGTCATTTATTACTCCTGTAAAGATTTACAGCTTTGGAAACCTTACACACCTTCACTATGAGTCAGAACTGACTTCGCATCACACAACAACATCAACCCAGTTATTTAATGGGAGCTCTAGTAACGTAATGGTTACAAATTGGGCGGTGGACTGCAAGGTCTGCAGTTCAAAACTACCAGCTGTTCCATGGGAGAACGATGGGGCTTTCTGCTCCCATAAGGATTTATAGCCTCAGAAACCCTGTGCAGGGTCACTATGAGTCAGAACCGACTCCATGGCACATAGCAACAAAGACGACAGAGAAGTTTTGGAGTCCTGGTATGGCACTGTAAGGTAAGCACTGGACTGCTATCTGCAAGCTTAGTGGTTCAAACCTTCCAGCACTCCTCGGAATCCTTAGACAGAGTCCTTGTAAGTTGGAACCAATTCGACAGCAACAGCACTTAACAACAATACTCTAGTCATTTTGGAATGCTGGTGGTCTTGTAAGATAGGCACTGCCTATCTCTCTCTTGTTTTCCACGATTGCATTCTAATCACCAGTAACTTTCAGTGCCATTTGATTGCATGTCAGATCCATTTCAAATGACGAAAGTTGGTAAAACTCTTCGATTTCCTTATCTTTGGAAGTATTTGATGTGTGAATTTGAAGAACAGTTGTATTGACTGGTCTTCCTTGTAGGTGTATAGCTAGTGTCCTGTTGCTGACAGTGTTGTACTTGTCTTTTTGATGAAGACGACACCATTCCTCTTCATTGTGTTGTTCCCGGCACAGTAAACAATATGATCGTCCTATTCAAAATGCCCAATCCCAGCCCATTTCTGTTCACTAATCCCTCGGATAGCAATCTTATGTGTTCCATTTAATTTTTGACGACTTCCATTTTTGCTAGATCCATACTTTGTATACTCCATGTTCTGATTATTAATGGATGTTTGCACCTGTTTCTTCTCATTTTGAATCACTCCACACCTACAAATGAAGATCCTGAAGCTTTCTCCACCCATGTCACTAGGGTGGACTCTATTTTGAAGAGGTAGCTCTTCCTCAGTCATATATTTAATGGTCTTTAGGGCTCATTTTCTGGCAATAGATCAGACTTTTCTGCGTTATTCATCAGGTTCTCACTGGTCACTTTTTTCAGAAGTAGAGCTCCAGATTCTTCTTTGGTGTTTGTCTTAGTCTGGAAGCTCCACTGAATCCTGTCCACCACGGGTGGCCCTGCTGGAATTTGAAATTCCAGTGGCATGGCTGCTAATATTACAAGCATGCAAGCCACCCCAGTACAGCAAACTGACAGAGGTGTGGTGGTAGCCATCAAGACTGCAGTCTTGGGAACCTTCTGAAGCAGTTGTGTCATGCCCTGGAGGTCACTATGAGTTGGAATCCACTTGATGGTAATGAGTTTTGCTTTCATGTGAAGAATTTTTACTCTGAGGGTAACCATCTGCAGGAGTCCAGCTCTCGCGGGGTTGTGGGACACAGGAGGAGACGCGGAGTCGGTCTAGATGAAAGCAATCAAGAGCCTCTGCTTAGTTGGCTGATGGGGCTCTCTTTCTCTGTCTTTTTCTCTCTCCTTCTTCTTCTGGCCCGGCTCAGCAAGTCTTTATTTTTATACTTAAAATCACACAATACATAATGAATTGACACTTTGATCTTTCCTTGAATTATCACACAGTTTATCACAACATTCTTACACCTGGTCATTAGACAACTTTGACAAAAATATTTCTGTGATGTTCAAACTGACTTTCATCTCCTTTCCCAGTATGTGATACACTGTTTCTTCTTGTTTCCACTAAAAGATTAAGTCAAACTTTACACAAATCATTTCTACTTATCAGACTACTGATTACATTTTCTTAGTAACATAAGTTTCTATTAATCATCAATGCTTGCACTACCTTATTATTTCTACTAACTAATTATCAATCTTCTATCCTACATAATGTACTACTATTTTCATAGTAAAAGTATTACTAACATCTACTTATTTATTTTTCTAATATTAAGGAGCTCTGGTAGCATAGTGGTTACGAATCGGGCTGTGAGCCGCAAGGTCAGCAGTTCGAAACTACCAGTAGTTCCACAGGAGAAAGATGAGGCGGTCTGCTCCTGTAAAGATTTACAGCCTCGGAAACCCTGTGTAGGGTCGCTATGAGTCGGAACCGACTACACGGCACATAACAACAACAACAACAAAGTAGTCATTAAATTGCTCGATAACAGTATTTTTATGTTTCTTTCTTTTGAAATTATGTGGCATAAAGCCCAACCTGGCTAATTGCTGCAGGGAATGTAGATTATCAAGTTAAAACTACCCTTCACTTAAGTTCATTATTTTCTGCCTATTTACGCAGGTGCTTGTATATAGGGGTTTGTGAATTCTGGCTGGTGACTGATTGTGGTGAGGTCTATAGGGGTCGGTCAGCTTGACTTTAGTTTGCTGTCTGCTTTTGTGATTTCATAAATGCAGTTACTTTGTACTTAGGTTTTCTGTGAAAGGGAGTTGCTTATACAATTCTCTTTGAACTCAGGCTACTGAAGTTGAGATCATTGTTTTTTCCCAAGGTTTGTAGAGCTCACAGTAAAAGCTCTGAATATGGCAATATTATATATTTTTACAAGTGAATTCATAGTTAACTTGAAGGGAAGATAGAGGCTAGCTTCTGAGAATCACCTGCTTTGCATGATGTTTCTCTTCCTGCTGGGAACGTGTCAAACAGCGGAAGCCAAGCCGCTCTCTGCAACCATCAATGTCCTGCCCCCATCCTCCATAAGTGTCTATGCTTAGGGAGGTCAGCTGCTGTACAAGGTCTAAAAATATACTCCTAATGAAGCTCAGCCAGAGTGCTCCTTGGAGGCCAGGATGGCCAAACTTTGTCTCTCATCCTTCGGACATATTGTCAGGAGGGACCAGTCGTTGGAGAAGTATATCATGTTTGGTAAGGTGGAGGGTCAGAGAAAAAGAGGAATACCCCCAATGAGATAGATTGGCCACTGGCAGCATCGATGGACTCAAGCATTGTGGCAACAGTAGTGAGGTTGGCCCAGGATCGGGCAGTGTTTGGTTCTGCTGTGCATAATAAGGTCACTATGAGTCGGTACCGACTCGATGGCACCTAACAACAACAACAACAAATGAAGCTCAGGAATCTTGGTGTGGCACTGTAGGATAAGCACTGGAAGGAAAGGTGGGTTTGAATCACAAGGTCAGCAGTTTGAACTCAGGAGTCGCTCCTCGGAGGACTGACCTAACAACCCCTAATAACAACAGTGAAGCTCACATGTTGGTCCTGATTTGCCATCAAGTAGATTCTGACTCTGAGTAGAACTGCCCCCCAGGGTTTTCAAGCCCTTTCAGGAGATCATGTGACCTCTCTTCAGAAGCACCTGTGAATAGTTTCAAACTGCCAACTTTCTGGCTAGTAGTTGAGTGCTTAACCAAGCCACAAAGTTTCCTTGGCACAGGGCTGCCCTGTCCTGAGGGCTCTGTGCCCAGGCACTGCTGTGACCGGGAGAACTGTCTCTTCCAGCAGCTGTGAGGACGACCTCTCCGAGGACAGGGAGGAGCTCCTGCATGGGATCTCGGAGCTGGACATCACCAACTCAGACTGCTTCCCATCCCAGCTGCTGGTGCATGGAGCGCTGGCCTTCCCGCTGGGGCTGGACTCCTACCATGGCTGTGTCATCGCGGCCGCCCGCTACGGTCGGGGCCGCGTGGTGGTGACCGGCCACAAGGTGCTCTTCTCGGTCAGCAAATTGGGCCCCTTCCTGCTCAATGCCGTGCGCTGGCTGGACGCGGGCCGCAGGGGCAAGATCGTGGTGCAGACGGAACTGCGGACCATGAGCAACCTGCTGGCGGTGGGGGGCATCGACACCTGCGTGGAGCCCCAGCTGACCAGCGATGCCAGCGTCTACTGCTTCGAGCCCGTGAGCGATGTGGGCGTCAAGGAGCTGCAGGAGTTCGTGGCCGAGGGCGGGGGTCTCTTCGTGGGGGCCCAGGCCTGGTGGTGGGCCTTCAAGAACCCGGGCGTGTCCCCTCTAGCCCGTTTCCCGGGAAACCTCCTCCTCAACCCCTTTGGCATCAGCATCACCAGCCAGAGCCTGAACCCCGGACCCTTCCGCACCCCGAAAGCGGGCATCAGGACCTACCACTTCCGTTCCACCCTGGCCGAGTTCCAGGTCATCATGGGCCGGAAACGCGGCAATGTGGAGAAGGGCTGGCTGGCCAAACTGGGCCCCGATGGCGCAGCCTTCCTGCAGATCCCTGCTGAGGAGATCCCCGCGTACACGTCGGTACACCGGCTCCTGAGGAAGCTGCTCAGCCGGTACCGCCTGCCCGTGGCCACCCGAGAGAACCCCGTCATCAACGACTGCTGCCGGGGTGCCATGCTCTCCCTGGCCACCGGCTTGGCCCACTCGGGGAGCGACCTCTCCCTGTTGGTTCCAGAAATCGAAGACGTCTACAGCAGTCCTTACCTACGCCCCTCCGAGTCCCCCATCACCGTGGAGGTCAACTGCACCAACCCAGGTGTGCGATTCGGGGTGGGGACTTGGCATCGGGGGTGAGGGGAGTGGTCACCGCAGTAGACCAGTTTGGGGATCTGATGGTCTCTGAAGCCATTCCCATTCCTTGCCATCCTTCAGAAAGACAGGACTGGGCCCTTGGTAATGTTGGGGGCGGGGGACTGCGGCAGGGCCGCGTGGGAAGGAGACTAGAGATGGACACAGGTCCCGAGAGGCTGTGATAATGCAGGTAAAGAGCTCTCCACTCCTGTGCTTTAGGAAAACCAAACAAAACTTGCCATGAAGTTGGTGCTTACTCATGTTTGCCACGTATGTGTGGAGCAGAGCCCTGCTCCACAGACTTTCCCACGGCTGCTTTTTCAGAAGTTGATCACCAGCTCTGTCTTCTGGGTGGACTCGGGCCTCCATCCTTTCCCAGAACTTAGGTGTTTGCGCTAACCCTGCACTGCACATGCTCTTGGCAGGCACCAGGTACTGCTGGATGAGCACCGGTCTCTACATCCCGGCCAGGCAAATCATAGAGGTCTCCCTGCCGGAGTCCGCGGCCTCCGCAGACCTCAAGGTAAGGCCACGCCCACCGCGCCAAGACACCTGGCGCGCAGCTGCCCTGGTTTCCCATCTGCTAGTTTCTCAGAGCTACAGAAAACCTCTGCAGGAAACATAAGGCAGGCCTTCTAGCCCCACTTCCCAGCCTAGACAACGGAGGTGCGGACGTGCCCATTGGTGTGACACGGGGTTAGTGAGGACACCGGTCCGGGTCCTCGTCCGGCTTTGAGTCTTCTGCCTGTGACGTGGGTCCCCGCGTGAGGAGTCAGAGCGACCCACGTAAAGCCCTCTAGTTCCTGCAGGCGCTCCCTCATCCGGCCAGCTCCCAGGCCCCTCTGTGTCTCCCACTGTGAGTCTCAGGTCTCTGTCTCCGTCTCCTTCCCCAGCCCAGTTCACACCCACACATACACACCCTTCGTGTATCGTCAGAGCCATATTGTAGGTGTTACTGGAGAAGGGGATTCTCCCATGCACACACCTCCGCATCCACAGACACATACATAAGTACACACACTGGTAAATCACAGTTCTATCTACTCGGTTCCTTCTAGGTGTCTTTAGAATGTTAGGGGCTTCTCTGTGCTTGTATTCTCTAGGAAGGGGGAAGAGAACCTACTCTCCACCCCCATAGCCTCCGCTGGACCTTCTCCCAGACAACACCAGACACCAACAAGGCCCACTCCCCGATCCAGAGGCACTATAACAGAATAGGCATCTAGGATTCTGCTGCCGCAGAGACACCGGAGGACCCCGTCAGATCTCCCCTCCTGGGGATTCACCTCAGGAGTGGCACCTGGAGCCCTTACTTGAGTGTCTTCTAGGGACCCCTGTATAGCTTCTGACGCAGAATCTTTAGCACAGTGTTCACATGGACTAATAGAGTTCCCCAAGTCCCAACCTGGCCCATGAAATAGGTGGTCCCTGACTCTCCCTTGTGCTTACCTCCCGATGCCCACCTCCACCCATATACACACACACACACGGGCCTCCCTAACTCCTGGGTGCCCGCTTCCATCACATACACCCATGTGGGGAGCACCCTGACCCTCCTAGGTGCCCACCTCTGGGCTCTCCCTCCACCGCACAGCCCCTGGTGACTCCACTCCTTCACCTGATGGGCGCTCTTCTCTCAGATCCAGATCGGCTGCCACACAGACGACCTGACCAGGGCCAGCAAGCTCTTCCGTGCACCCCTCATCATCAACCGCTGCTGCCTGGACAAGCCAACCAAGTCCATCACGTGCCTCTGGGGAGGTCTGCTCTACGTCATTGTGCCTCAGAGCTGCAAGCTGGGCCCTGTTCCGATCACCATCAAGGGAGCTGTGCACGCTCCCTACTACAAGCTGGGTGAGAAGAACTGGGGGCTGTTTGTGTGGGGGGAGAAGAAGTGTGGTGGGTTTCCTAGGAGATGAAGACCCAACCACACTCCTGGAGAGAAAGGAGGGCAGTGAGGAGGGCCGCGGTGACCGGGACTCCAGCACTTTCCTGAGGTCTAGGCCAAGTGTTTGCCCCGAGGGCCTGCGGAAGTGAGTTTCATTCTGGGGACTCTGTTCTAGGGGAGACATCCCTGGAGGAGTGGAAGAGGTGCATCCAGGAGAACCCAGGACCCTGGGGGGAGCTGGCCACTGACAACATTATCCTGACCTTGCCGACCGTTAACCTGCGCACCCTGGAGAACCCCGAGCCCCTTCTGCGCCTCTGGGATGAGGTGATGGCTGCGGTGGCCAGACTGGGCGCTGAGCCCTTCCCCCTACGCCTACCCCAGAGGATCGTCGCTGATGTGCAGATCTCCGTGGGTAGGTGCCCCTGGGGGACCCCATGCATGCTGCCAAAGGGCCTTCTTTTGGTCCATGCCATGTGGGTGGGTGCCCCATAGGACCCTTGGTCCATGTCATGTGGGTGGGTGCCCCGTGGGAACCCTTGGTCCACACCATGTTGCTGGGTGCCCTGTGGGGATCCTTAGTCCACACCATGTTAGTGGGTGCCCTGTGGGGACCCTTGGTCCATGCCATGTGAGTGGGTGCTCATGATGACCCCATGAAGCCGCCCGAGGACCTCCCATTAGCCCACAGCCGGGTATTGAGCACCCATGTAAAAACCATAGCAGATGTAGCCCTTGCTATTCAAATGGGAAAGGTAGAAACTTCTGTTTAAGAAGGAAATGCCCACAGAAGGGCTTGTTCACGGAGCTGAGCTGTGCAGAACCTTCCGTGTCTGGGCTACACAGTCATCCACTGAGAACCCTAAGAACAGAGCACGACAGTGCATGCTGGGAATCCAGCAGCTCTGAGAAGACCAGGATAGAGGTCCGCATGAGGTGCTGAGCAGTCTAAAACATGAGGGAGCGTAGAAATTAGAGGAGACCCTCAGGTGTTCCTGCAGACCCTGGCTTTCTTGGCCCACCTGGCTGGTCAGAGCATGATAAATGTGATGGCCACTTATCAGAGTACTGCATTTACAGTCATGTGGACGGCCCTCTGGCCAATGTGGCGCTCAGGCTCAGTCCTCTGGCAGCCTGCACACTCCACATAGTCACCCTTGTTGGTCAGAGAGGGGCCAGAGGGTCTGCATGGCTGCTGGAAGCCCCGGGGAGGCCTGGGTGGGAGTGCCCTGACCTGTCTCCCCCACCCCCAGGCTGGATGCACGCAGGGTACCCCATCATGTGCCACCTGGAGTCGGTGCAGGAACTCATCAGTGAGAAGCTCATCCGGACCAAGGGGCTGTGGGGCCCGGTGCACGAGCTGGGCCGCAACCAGCAGCGGCAGGAGTGGGAGTTCCCGCCACACACCACCGAGGCCACCTGCAACCTGTGGTGTGTGTACGTCCACGAGACGGTCCTGGGCATCCCGCGGGGCCGCGCCAACATCGCCTTGTGGCCCCCCGTCCGGGAGAAGAGGGTCAGAATCTACCTGAGCAAGGGCCCCAATATAAAGAATTGGAATGCCTGGACGGCCCTGGAAACATACCTCCAGGTACTGGGCGAGAGAGAGCCAGGGCAGCATTGGACTGTGAGATCTAGGCCCCATCAGCCACGGGAGACCCTGGTGTGGAGAGAGACCTATCAAATCCTATCAACCAAACCCATTGCCCCCAGGCTAATTCTGACTCAGGGCACCCCATGTGTTACTGAGTACAACAGGGTGTTCTTGGCTGGGAGCTTCATGGAAGCAGATCACCATGATTGTCTTCCATGGTTAGGTGGGTTTGAACCACCAACCTAGTGGTTAGCAGTCCAGTGCTGATCCGACAGAGCCACAGAGGTCACCACTCTGCTTGTTGCTGTCGTTTAGTGCCGTGAAGTTGGTTCTGACCCATAGTGACCCTGTATAGGGTTTCCGAGGAGCAGCTAGTGAGCTTGAACCACTGACCTTGCAGTTCAAACGGCTTTGCAGTCTGGCACATTAACCCACAGCAGCACACCAGGACTCCCACCACTCTGCTTAGCTCTGTGTAACTCTTAACACAAGCTTGTTGGTTTAGTCCCACCCTCCACCCCAGGGTTTGGAAGAGAGACAGAGAGAGAGAAAATCACCAAGAAAGATCCAAAGAGTGGAGGCCCAAGTTCTACCGTAATTACGGTTATGGTGTCAGACTGAGTCAGGTGTGCCTGAGGCCAAGCAGAGCCCCTTAAGAGCCAGCCACAACCAAACCCATCCCTCATGAGCCCTGACCAGCATCACATCTCCTGTGACTTGGCTGGGCCTCAGTTTCCATCTCCCAGAGATAGTCCAAGGCTCTGCACTGGCCCAGACAAAGGCTGTGTCTTTGTCTTGCATGGCCTGCCCATGCTACAGCCCCCATCCCAGCTTCATCACTGTGGAGTCTGGAGCCCGGAGTCTGCAGTATGGCCCATCTGAACCTTCCACTTGCTCATCCGCTGCCTCCAGCATCACAAGGCCTGGGATTCTCCAGTTTGCTCTCACCCTTAGCACGGCTACAGTCAGGGACTTCTTTCTCTGTGAAGGAAGATTGAGACTGTCCTAGGGGTCCGCTGAAGCTCCTAACCCTGGCTCGCTTGGGCTACTTCCCTGGGCCCAGGATGGATACCTCTGCTCCAATTGTAACTGACTCTTGTCTCTAGCTCCGTAGACTACGTATATAGGCGTTGTCGTTGTAAAGTACCATGGAGTTAGTTCCAACTCATAGCGACCCTGCATAGGGTTTCTGAGGCTGTGAATCTTTATGGGAGCAGAAAGCCTCATCTTTCTCCTGCGGAACAGCTGGTAGTTTCGAACTGCTGACCTTGGGGTTAGCAGCCCGATTCGTAACCACTACGCTACCAGACTGCATTCAATTCCTGGCCAGTGCCCATCTGTGATTGGAAGCTTGCATGTTGCTATGACAATGAGCAGGTTTCAGGGGAGCTTCCAGACTCGGCAGGACTCAAAAGAAAGACCTGAGGATTTACCTCTGGAAACCAGCCAGTGAAAACCCTCCGGATCCCAACAATCCCATACCCTGGTGCGTGAGGTCACATTAGACCCAGACTGGATCAACGGCAGCCAACACCTGCTACCTGCTGTAGTCACCCCCAGGGCCATCTTAGTACCCTTGTCAGCTGACACAGACCTAGGATTGAGGGGGATTTTGTTACAGCAGGATAAGGTGGCAGTTTCTTAAGTGTTGGGGTTTAACTTTGAGGGATGAAGTTTTCTCCACTTCTGCCAATTTCAGATTCTTTTGTAATCTCTGGAGACTGCTCTGGTAGTCTGGTAATCATGGTATTGGTGTAAGTACTTCTCACAGTCCTTGTGATGGTTACCAAAGTCATCATTTTTGAGCACCTACTTTGATCCAATCTCTGTTAGCCCGGAGGTCCTTCCTAAGGTGAGCATGTGGGGGAGAGAGACCTGGGCCAGCAGGCAAGATGTGGTTGAGACAATGGTGATAGCATAGGTGTGAATCTGTCTAAGGTTAAATGCATCCCGGTATCTCACCCTGTGTCCCTCACGTCTTCTCCCTGCAGCTACAAGAGGCCTTTGGTTGGGAGCCATTCATCCGCCTCTTCACTGAGTACAGGAACCAGACCAACCTGCCCACAGACAACGTCGACAAGATGAACCTGTGGGTCAAGATGTTCTCCCACCAAGTGCAGAAGAATCTGGTGCCTTTCTTTGAGGCCTGGGCCTGGCCCATTCAGAAGGAAGTGGCAACCAGTCTGGCCTACCTGCCCGAGTGGAAGGAAAATATTATGAAATTGTACCTCCTCACCCAGATGTAAGGAGTGCCCAGCGAGGTGGCAGGTAGAGAGGTCCGGGAGGCAGACAGAGATGGGGTCACACCTCTGTTCCGTCTCCCAGGGTTCTGGCCTTGTGCTCTAGCTCATTGCCCCAGATCGTGCTCCCTGGTCTGCCTCCAGGAAGTGGGTTAGGTGGCATTGGGGGTCTCAGGAATCACTGTGTGTATCCTAGAGTCCTGGCCCTCTGCTCTCACCCTACAGACCCCTGGCCCTGGACTGGCCCCAACGTGAAAATGGCTCTGGCACTTGCTTCCATACCAGCCTTGGTGCCCCAGTGGAGGATGGTCCTCATCCCCACAACTTGAACATTCTCTCTGGTCATTGGTTCCCAAAACCTGACCGTAAAGCCAATGGGAACACAAATTCTCCCGAATACCCTGGCAGCTCCCTGATGACTCAAGTGTCTGGAGTTTGGGTGGCTTTCAGAGAATGGCACATAGACTGGCATATGAAAGAGAGCCCAGTGTTAGCTCTGGAGAAAGTCATTTTACCTCAGTATTCCCATGTCCTGTGTGTGGAATGGGAGTAACACCCCTATCTCACAGGGCGGCCCAAAGACTGACACATAACCCTGCAGAGGCTTGTGGAGCGCACAGTGGAAGGGCATCCAGAAGGGTCCACTGTCCGCGGGTCCACAGAGCAACGAGCTTCCTCTCCCGTTCCCTTCACATCACTTCGGGCCATGGCCACTATTGCTGCTAGCAGACTCTGTGTCCAAATCCTGGTTCTTTCTCCTAGTCGTTTTGTGAGCCTGGGCAAGATCCGTAACTTCGCTAAAACTCAGTTGCTTCACCTGTAAAATGGGAAATGACTCCACAGGGTTATTGTGACGATCAATTCTGTCGTTGTTAGGTGCCATCGAGTCAGCACCGACCCATAGCGACCTTATGCACAACAGAACAAAACACTGCCCCAATCTTAGGCCAACCTCACTACTATTGCCACGCTTGAGTCCATCGATGCTGGCACTTGGCCAATCCATCTCACTGGGGGTCTTCCTCATTTTCTCTGACCGTCCACCTTATCAAACATGATGTCCTTCTCCAGTGACTGGTCCCTCCTGACAATATGTCTGAAGTATGAGAGATGAGGTTTGGCCATTCAATTCCGTAGTACCTCTTAAAGTGATGTAGACCCTGGCAGTGAGTAGGCGTTGAGCAACGGTCAGCTGTTGCAATTCACATCCAAGTCGCTGGCATGGGAGAGCTAGACTTCACTGTCAAATGGCATTTTCCTATGCAATTGAAATCAAAACTATTCCATCCCACATTTTAAGGAGTTCTGGAGCCCTGGTGCGTCGCTGTTGGCTAACGCATCGGACTGCAAAGCCATTTGAACTACAAGGTCGGTGGTTCAAGCTCACCATCCGCTCCTTGGAAACCCTATACAGGGTTGCTATGGGTTGGAACTGACTCAACAGCACTTCACAACAACAACAAGGAACTCTGATAGCGTAGTGGTTACAAGTCGGGCTGCTAACCTCAAGGTCAGCAGTTTGAAACTACCAGTGGTTTTGCGGGAGAAAGATGAGGCGCCCTGCTCCCATAAAGATTTACAACTTCAGAAACCCAATTACCGAGTCGCTATGCGTCACTTGACTAGCCCAAAGTAGGTGTTTGTTCTTAGCAGAGAGTACACATCCAGTCTGTGAAGATGCTCATAGTTGCTGATCACGGAAAATTGATCACCGTCGAGAGTTGCTCACCAGTTTGGTAATGGGCCTACCTCTATTGAATGACCATCTTCACAGCTGATTCGGAACCATCCCAGTTCTTTGTAGCAGGAACTCAAGTAGATTCTCTGAGATTTAGGTTGTGTGCACCCAAGCAATTTTCCTTTAGCTCACTTCTTTTTACTAAATTACTAGAAAATTTTATTTGCTTTATTGGGAATTGAGGGACTGTGGTGGCTCTGTAGGATAAGCACTGGACTGTGAACCATAAGGTTAGCAGTTCGAGCCCATCAGCTGCTCAGTGGGGGAAAGATAAGGCTTTCTGCTCTCGCAAAGATTTACAGCCTCAGCAACCCTATGCAGGGTCGCTCTGAGTCGGAACCGACTTGACAACACTTAACCAATATCAACAATACGCAATAAGGTTCGAATTCGATCATGTCTTTCTTTAGATTCCTCTCACTGTTTTTCTTTTCTGAAAGCTAGAATTATTTTCCCTTGTTTCATGAGTGTCCATTGTCTTGGTGCTTTGAACAGAGAGTGTGTTCAAAGAAAGCAAGTGTTGGCTATTCATCCCACATTTAAAATGTAATGCCAGTTACCAGCGAGCGAACTACAACTCAGCAACTTTATGTGTGTCAGAGTATACCTGCGTTCCATAGGGTGGTGAAAATTCCCTGGTTTTTTAGGAGGAGATCCTTAAACTGTCCGTCAGAGTAGCGTCTGGGTGGGCTTGAACCTCCAGCCTTTCAGTTAGCAGCTGAGTATGTCATCCTTTTATGACACCCAGAGACTTCAGCAGTTTAAACACGTGCTTATAATTCTGGAGTGTCTAGTATCTACCCGGTATTGTACTGGGCTCTTTACATAGAATGCTTAATTTAACCTTGATCATAAAACTATTATTATCCCATTTTATGAATGAAAAAGCAGAAGTTTATCAAGATGAAGTCAATTGCCTAAGGTTGCATTGCTAATAAGTGGTAGAGCAGGGATTTGGACCAGGGGCTGTATTAGAAGATGTGTGTCCTTAACTACTGTTCTTTGAACCACCAAATAAATGAAGAAATCAGCCAGAAAGCAAAACGGATCTGGATGCCCCTATTTGCCAGAGCTTTGCTTACTTTCTTATTACCCCTCATCTAATTTTATCGGAGCAAAAAATACCTTTTTTTTAATCCCAAACTTGAGTCCTGAGGAAGAAGTTGAGGTGGGCCCCTAAAGTGTGTCCTCCCAGACTGTGCTGGCGTGGGCCTTTTACCATCACCGGAGTCTCGGTCATGCTCCCGAGGGCACCACGAGAGTATTCTGTTGGTTTGTTGGATTTTGAATGATGGGCCATTTGGTAAAGTGCTTGACGTGATAAAGTCCCAACACTGCATGTTCTCAGACAGGAAATTAGACCCTCAACCATCCTGGCCCTCCTCATTTAATTTCAGCAGTGTAGATGGGGACCTTTTAAAACTAACCCTATCCCCACTGTGTCCCTGTCTAAGAGCTGCCAGTAGGACTTCCGATGTAAGATGATGGACTGAACATGTAAGTTTACCTCCCCTCCTTCCCCAGGCCCCATTGAAATTGAAGAAATTCAAAAGCGAATGGATACATCTCCGCAAAGAAAACAGAAGGGATTTGGATAGACGTGAAGAAGATCTCAACCCATTTCTCGAAGAGAGGAAGTGGATGCTGCGTGATGATGGGAGAAGGACAAGAGCTTCCTGTCAGCCAGAATATAAGCTCATCTGAACATTATCACCCCAAAGAGCCCTGGCTGGGTATTTAAGTCCTACACACTAAAGAAGGATGTCACTTGTGACTGTGTCCCCCACCCGACTCTACCCCCACTCTTGTGTACCTTATAGGCAGCCTGCTTTGGGTGCCAGTCAAATTGGTATTGTTTGGTAATAAAGACGTTGGATGCTGCTCCTGAGGTAGGATAGGTGCTGCAGAATCTAATTAACCTTTTTGTGAAATTAGGGATCCCCCAGGTCTCTCCGTTAATTTTCTATTGACAGTTGAGACCTTTGTTCATGTGTCCAGTGCTTACTGGGAACACAACTAACCATACAATGTCAGAGGAACACACACCAGTCACCTCCAAAAATCAAAAGCGTCAGTGATTCTTAAAGGTGAATAGGCAACCAGAAATTCTCAGACATGGGAGTGGATGTAATGAAAATAACCACACAGAATTAGAATTTTGGAGTCTATGATAAACTCTAGAGGAAACATAGTTAATCCAGAAAAAGATAACTTTAAAATGCAAACTTATCTTCAGAGACATTAGAAATGCATTTGTGAAATGAAAAGGAAAAGCCCTGAGAATAAGAACCCTATGAAAGTAAATTAGGCTCTGCCCAAATTTTCAATAGACAGACTGGGAATCTATATCTAGGGAAGGTCCCAAGACGTAGAACTAAAAGAAATAGAAAATACGAAGAATGGAAAAAGGCAGCAGTGATCAATGTCTGTTAGGATTTCCTAGAAAAGGAAATGATTAAAGAACAAAATGACATAAATCTTCAACTTGAAAAAAATGTAATAAAATCTACATCTAGATACAATCTTTGAAATTTTGAAACTTCAAGGATAGAATGAAGATACTGCAAGTGTCCAGAAAGAGAGAGAGATTTAAAACAAAAATGTCACCAAAATTACCTCAATTAAAAAGGGATGAGAAATAGATTGGCAGCCCATTCCTCCCCTGGTACTGAATGTCAAAAATCAGTGTTGCTGTGGCTTCAGATGTTTGACGGGAAAAATTTCTGTACTCAGAATTCCATAGCATACCAAACTATCAAGAGTAAAGTCAAAATAAATACATTTTCTGGCATGCCACATTTCAGAAAATTACCTCCTTTACATCCTTGCTGAGAAAATACCATGAGGAAATTCTCCAGCAAAATGAGGAAGATAACCAGAAAAAAGGAAGGCATGAAGATCCAGAAGACAACGGCGCTCAGGTCTAAAGCCTTGTTCTAGAGCAGAAGTCATCCAATAGACCCATCACAGATGGAGAGGGGACACCCTTGGACTGTCTGGGAAGAAAATGCGTCCTTCATCAGAAAGAGTATCATGGATTGCTAGGGAATGCAGAAGTCACATATTCTTCAACCAACAACAAAGAAGACAAGACAAAATATTTCAAGAAATTCATATGTAAATATGAGGCAAGATAAAATGAAGCATGACTTCGAGTTACTCATGGAGCCTAAGAAGAGACTTGATCTGACATTCACGGTAGGTACCTTCTTCAAGTGCCAGCCATTAGGGCATTGAATGTGTAGGGAGAGTATATCCAGGCCTCTATCCCTTTACTAAGGAGCTCTGATAGCATAGTGGTTACGAATCAGGCTGCGAACCTCAAGGTCAGCAGTTCGAGACTACCAGCTGTTCCGCAGAAGAAAGATGAGGCTTTCTGCTTCCATAAAGATTTACAGCCTCGGAAACCTCGTACAGGGTTGCTGTACAACAACAATCCCTTTACTAGGCTTTCCGAGTCCTGGTGTGGTGCTGTAGGATAAGCACTGAGCTGCTAACCACAAGGTCAGCGCTTCACACCCACCAACCACTCATCAGAAACTCTCTACCGATGCTGTGAGTGGGAGCAGATTAGATAACACTTAACAACAACAGCTAAGAGTACAGTAAATAGTATTTACATAGTCACGATAATGGAGATACTATTAAGTGATATTACTGTTTGGAACATCCTATCGAAAAAGAATAAAAGGTTTCTCCTCTTCAGTTCAGAGCATAATGTCAAAGTGCTTAATGCTGACAAAAGAAAGCAGAAATAGGTTGAGAGTTCGTTATGGAAAGAAATAGAAGGAAGACTAGGGCTGCTCTTACCTTCAAAATTGGAATGAAGAGACGAGGTCGACAGTAATGGAACAAGAAGTCGAGGATGAGTACACTGTTCAAAGTTATCAATTAAACCAACCCAAGTATTAGAAAAAATTAATGGCGTATCTATTAAAATTTGGGAAAGGAGGTGTTGAGGAAAGATGGGAAGTGTGTAAATTAAATCCCTATCTTTTGTAATGTGGAATTATTATTAAAGATTGTAGAGAGCTGATAGCCAAGAAATTAATTGCTCAAACACATTATTTAAAGTTAGGAAATTAGTAGCCAGGAGATGTAAAACTAGGAATTGTTAAGAAACTTTGCCTCTAGGGGGTAGGACTAGAGTTAAAGAGTGGTGTGGCAAACCGTGCTTTTCATTTCACGTCCTGTACTATTTAATTTTTTTTACCTTGTGCATGTATTACTTTGAAAACAATTTTTAATAAACAGAAATAAAAATTATTCAGTGGTTTCTTGACTAAGATGCAGTCCAACCAAGACCCTTGTTATGGCTGAACAGACCCTTGGGTTGGGACCCACCTGATAGGTCCAGAGTCATCAAATCTGCGCATCACCCTAGTTTTAACCTCACTAAATCTCTTCCAACTATCAAAACACACTTGACCTTCTTTTGTTTTTACAGGCTTTCCTTCCAAGGAAACAGCCTGCCCCCTCTGCCCCAGGTACCTAGTGATTTAGTAGGTTTCCAGTATTTGTTGAATTAATGAATGACCAGCAGGACTTTGGAGTCCTGGTGTGGCACTGCAGGATAATTCACTGGACTGCAAGGTCAGTTTGAACTGTAAAGTCGGCGGTTCAAACCCACCAGCCACTCCTTGGAAACACTAGATAGGGACCCTATTAGTGGGAACCCACTGAACAGCACTTCACAACAACCAATAGGGCTTTAGATGCACCTTCCCCCGGAAGGCCTATGGTATCTGTCCCTAGTTAGAGAAACCACAGGGTTGGCTATAAGCTTTCCTACCGGCCTATTCATTGGAATGATTGAAAATGTTTAGTCTTAAACAATTACCCACTCCTTCTGAACTATATATGAATTCAGCGTCAATAACTTTTGGAATATGTACATATAGGTACTAAAATTGTGTTTCCTTGAATTGTCCAAATATTTGAATAAATTCACTTTTACAAACTGTCAACACTGGTCAGCGTTGAGATCTGTGACAATACCACACATGGAAGAACATGCCCAACATTGCTGCCACA